GGGTGGACCGTAATAACGGCGGGCACTTTGAAATATTTATGATCCGTCGTGACACAGAAATACACAGCGCCGCTTTCGGAACGATTTCCTTCGCACGTTGCAAACGAAACTAGGCTGCGGGTATCGCTTCGGGGTCAATTAACGTTGATGAAACCTCTGGTTAAACACTTTTCAGAAATGAAATTCCGTTACTTTTTAATTAAACAGCTAACTCGGAGAAATTCGAGGAAACTTGAATCGGTAGATGGACGTTTACTTTATAAGTAAACTATAAAAGGAAAACCGAGGATGCGCGTTCGTACAGTTCGCAAGCTGAAATATTTCCACGCAAATAATGAATCCCGTAAATCACCTGAATATCGCGAACAAACTAGATCGGAAGGAAGGGGAGAGGGAAAAAATGATTAATTACCCCCCGCGGTGGCGAGGCACAGATTTCAAGCGAGACGCGAGACGCGAGACGCGAGACGCGCGTCGCGGGGGAGCAGATCCGACCGGGGAAGATGCTTTTAAATATTTATCCGACGTCGGGTTGCTGTGATAAATAGACTCCGGATATTTATGCAATGCTGGTATAATTTAACTCGCGAATCGCGATGATACATTCGTTTTAATCAAACCGCGTTTCGACGACATTAGTAACGCGACAAAACCCTTTGACGAGAAATAAATGTCTATCCAACCTTTGTTCCACCGTTGCTCGGAAACCTTTAAAATTCAAATGCACGAAATTTACACGAAAATCTAAGGTTTCCCGACGAATTATCGTCGACGTTGTTCCTGAAATTTAAAACAGTTTCACCCGTAAACTTTCCGACTCCTACCGAAGGAGGGAAGAATTCTGATTCCGAGAGGGGCTGCGGGAACTGCCGAATCGTCGAGCGAGGCAACGCGTCGGGAGCACGGGAGAGGAAATGATTAATTATCATCAGCCCCGCGGTAACGATTGCGATCGATCGGTCGAAGGTCGTGTTCTCGAGGCCCGAGGCATCGGGGCGACGATACCGACACAATTATCGCGCCGATGGATCGCGCAGATACCGGTGATTGCCGGGTGACAGCACGGGAATCCCGAATATAACGAAACCGAGGATCGACGACGCGTCGTCGAGGCTGCGCACGTGGGATCTCGCGGAGACACGCTTCGAGAGACCAGCTGCGTCGATAAGATCCTATCTGGCACGTGGTAATCTCCTCGCCATTGCAATATGGGGAATCGTTGTTGCGTCAAAATGGGACAAGCCGGCTCGCGATCTTGGTTAGATTAATCATCGATCCGGTCTCGCTGTTTTTTCTTTGCGAGTTTGTCGTTTCGTCGGTGAAAGCCAAACTGCGCGCTTTAATTCTCCAAGATTGAATTCGTTCGGCTACTCCTACCGATTAGTACTCGATAATGTTCGGTGATAACGAAAAGTACTTTGAACCCTTTGTCCTACGATTTCTTTCGCAACTAATCTCAGAGCTACATCGAAATTAAGAATCCGTCACTGAGAGGAGAACGTGACATTCATTGCGGATCTACGTTTACTCGAACATTTCTATTCGAACGAAATAAACGACGCTCCCGTTCAACGTATCAAAGTCAAGCAGAAATTCAGTGGAAATTCTCTGCGACTGCGACTAAAGTTGGCAAGACAAGGGGTTAATTCTCACAGTTAATCAAGTCTACTATCCAGCAGCCAACGTTCCAACAAGTACCGTGCCTGACCTAGACCCGCGCCAGTGACGACGCAGTTCCGTTGTAAATTCGCGAGCCGGTCACCGGCGACTCATTAATCAAATATCACTCCAGCACCGTGGTCTAAAATAGCTTCCGGCGGTCGCGACATTAACGCGCGTTCCCCGCGTCCTGTCGAAATACTCGAGAGATTCTTTTCGTGCGGCTCGATGCGACGAGACACTCGCGCGGTGGCGTTCCGAGACTGTCCCGCGATCAACCAAACACTCACTGGCAACAAACAGCCACCACGTTCGACGAGAACGTTAGAACAAGGGGTGGGGGTAGGAGATGGTGATCGCGGTAGCAGCGATCGGGGAGGGAGAGCCCCGAACACCAGCGAACGCGGCGATCGGATCTCTTTCCCCTACAGAGATCCGGCGGCTTCGAGAGTCGACCAATTACCGTGACGTTTTAATGACTCCCGTGGACAAAAACCGACCAAAACATAGAATAAGATCCGGTGAACGAAGTGGAAGCTGCTTCGGTAGCGGTACTTGGCTTCTTCTGCTTCTCTGTAAAATTTAAAGCTTCGGACGCTGTAAAGGTCCAGCGGAGCATGAAAAGATAGGGGACAGGGTATGCGGTGAGAAAGGTAGAACAGAGGAGAAAAGAAGAGGCAGCTCGAATGCGAGGATAGAGGTTCATTTTCCTGTGACAAACTGCGGTACCTTGGAATGTCGATTAATTATCGTGACGTTTTAATCACTCCCGTGGACATTAATGAACCAAAATATAGAACAACCTCCAGGAAAGAAAACAGCGACTGCTTCGGCAGCGATACCTGGCCACTTATACTTCTAACGTTACGTACTTTCGTAAAGCTTGAAGCTTCGGATATCGCGAACACCAAAGAAAACTGCTGGACCGAAAGACGGGGGATACAAAGAGGTGGAAACGAAGAGCAGAAGAGAGAAATAGAAAGTTCCAGGCACTCGAAGCACTTTGGTCTATAAAAATCTGTAGTAACTTCGAACCTCGATTAACTGGCCCGGCGTTCTAATAATTCTTATCCCAATAACTGCCAGAGCCACAGCGGCATTCGACAAATTACACGGTCCTTCGGTATCGGTACTTACAGAGCGAAAAAGAGCAAAGGACCGGAAGACGTACGATTCAAGGAGAAAGTCCGAAGCACTCGCGGACGCGCCTCGACGCAGTGTCCGCACGGTTGACGAGCAGGGGACTCACGAAAGCGAATCGCGGGCTTCTCTTGCTCCCGCAGGAGCGGAAACCGATGAGCGCGGGAGCGAGAGCTCGACGAGAGGTCGGCGTAGCTCGGTTAGTCCGCGATGCCGCGTGCCACGGTTGCCTCTCTTCTGGTTGCTTTCCACCGGTGCGCGACAACCCACCCACGCCGAGGCGACTTTCCGCTCTGCTCTGCTCTTCCGCTCGAAGCCCCCTCGAGCCACCCCTGGGAACTCGTCTGAAGCTCCACCGGCTCGATATTCTTTCCGCGCTCCCGCACGGAACACGATCAACCGCACCGGTGCGCTCCGCGAGGGTGCACGCCGCGCGCTGATTTATCTGGCTCGCTGTACACCGCGGGGGAGGACAAAGTTCACTTGAGCGGGATCAGCTTGTCCGTAACGGTCTATAATGTGCCGATGACCCCGGTTTTTCTATTCAGGATTCTGCCACTTTTCTCTTGTTTGTCCATTTTATGGGCGTCGAGGGTTTCTGCCGAGAGCGGTACGCCGACAGTTTCTGTTTTTCGGGAAAGTCCTCGGATTGGCGTGGAAGGGGAGGATTCGATTTAAGGAAATGACGCTTCAGGGGATTCGAGGGCTACGAGGGATTTATGTTAAAAACGCGCAGAATCGTTGGAAACCGATACAAAGGAAAGAAACTACGGAAGAGGAAGGGGTACAAGTGAATCAGCGATCGAACGAGATCGAACGGAGTATTCGGGGCGTAATAGTGTTTGCAAGGGCAAGGTTCGGCGTACAAACAAGCTAATCACTCGAAGCCCGGATATAATTTGTCGCGTGGAAGGTTTCATCGGAATTCAATACCCGTGAAAGATCCATTTCCGCGCGGGAACCGCGTTAAATCTGTCGGCGACGCGCGCGTCAAAGCACGACGGGCGGCGAGTGGACCGGGGCCCAAGCGAAATATTAGCTAAAATTTACGGCGGGCTCACTAATTGAAATTTACGTTTCCACTTAAACGGGGAGCTGCGCTGCGTCGATAAAATTTCATAAAGGACGCGGTAACGACATCATTTATCGCCGGGCCGCGTCGTCGGTTTGACTACGCGTGCAATTTCGAACGCGATTCGCCGCGGGAAGAAGTTCACATTCGTACCTCAGGCTTGTCAACGATCCGTTCGGCCGCCAACGTCTCTTTTGTCTTTTTTCCTTCTTTTCTTTTCCCTCTTCTTTCACTTTCCCCTGTTCCGTTTGTTCCCATTCCCTTCATTCTTCTCTTCTCCCGAGTCTTCCGTTCTACTCCTCGTTTCATTTTGTTCTCTCCTTTCGATCTTCTTCCGTTTTTCTCCTTAAACTCGCGCCTACTGTCCGATGCAAACTCAAAGTGACGCGATAACCGCCGTTTAAAGAGCTCCGAGCAGCAATTCTCGCGATCCGACCGCGATAAATAAGCGACCGCGACGATCGATTCTTCCCGCGAATTAATTAACGTTTCGCAGCCCGTTTACACAACCATCGGACGCGTTGGGTGCCTATTAATGAGTCGCAGCCCCGCAATGGAAATCGAAGCTGGCGTTAAGATATTGAAAATCGCCGCGATTGATGACGCCGGCGGCGTTCGAGCTTATACATCGGCCTGCCGATATTGAGCAATAAATTGTCGAGGACCGAGCCGGTAAGGTCAGGCGGCGAACAGTCGGGGCGGCCATCGCTCGAGGAGCGCCGATTAAACCTTATATCGTGGAATTAGCCGAAGCTGCTTCGGGGATGATTCATTGGCCGAGCGTTAACGACGCTCTTTATAGCTCTTATATTCTTTCGGCGCGGAGGTATTTTCTAATATATTGCGGCTTAAGGGGTTGCCTCTCGGTAAGCGACACAGTTTCGTGGGAACCAGTGCTCCGAACGGTGCCACTTTCTTCGATTTTATGGGAATAAATCGGATCGGATCGCTTATTAATCGAGACAGAGACTAATAATCCGTGATACGCTTGAAACGATTATTTCGAACGATTATCGTAAGATCGTCTGTTGAAGATACTCGAATAATCCTTATTAACCAGAGATTCGTCGAATATTATCGAATATTATCTTGAAACTGTGACAAATCTTTCACTTTTCGACGTTTCCAGGATACGTTTAGGACCCACACAGATTCGGATCATCCGACTCGCAACGGAGGGTGAATTTCCTATCAACGTCGGGGATCAAAGAACATCCCAGTTTTCGAGGTTTCTATTTGAGACACGTTTCACACCGGTAAATTGATTTCCTTTGCTTCTACTATTTCTCGAAATCGCGACCGATAAGGGATTTGCGGGTCGGCCGGGGGTCGAGATCGGCGGCAGCCGAATCTCGGATAAAACATGGTCGGGGTTCCGCGCGTAAATCAAACTTTCCGTGTCTATAGGCATCCATTTCCCGCGTCAAACGACTATCGATCCGTCCGAACGAATTACGAAATTTAGTAGAGACGTCGACTCTTGGCCGGACAAGAATTATGCGAGCGTTCTTAACGAATCGACGAAAGGAGGTCGGAAGAAAACCATATTCAAAGCATCTCACCTCCGTTTATTTTTCATCATCTTCGACATTTATAGACGGTCTCCTATTTGTATGCGTTTCAATTACGCAATTCTCGTTTTCCTTATTACTGAAAAATTAAGAGTGTTCCAATTTCAGTTGTTAAGCGATTAAAAATCTCTTTGATCGTGCGTTAGAATTAGAAAAACCGGTCCGAGTATGTTTTTCCATTTTCACTGATGAATACAAGTCCATATTTCTCGTCTGCAACAATTGGAAAAAGCCTGACCACGTACCCAGCACTGTGAAAAGCGAAACAATCGAAACAAGGAAGGGAATGGTCGTGGGCGTGCGAACTGCGACTCGGGAAAAATTATTGCGACTCGCGGCGAAACGAATGAACTCCCAAAAAAGCTATCCAACGCTCGCTTCATAATTCCGTCGGGAGTAACACGACGCGCTAATTTGCCCGCGCCATCTCTATGACGGGTAAACAAAAATACTAACAGACGCGTCTCATTATTCGTCGCTGTTTGCAGCGACGGCCCTGTTTCGTGCAGTTGGCCTCGACAATTAAAACGCCGACCAATTTTCCACTCAGCTTCGTCCGTGGTTTTTACAGGACGCAGGGAAAACATCGATAACTATACCGATTGCTGTGGTTTCTGCTGCGTGGATTCCAGAACACGATAAGTAGAAATGGTTGGCAACCTACGGACACATCGCGATTCTGTTCATCGGGAAAACGATGAATATTTCAATTCTGCTGCATCGATACAGAGGAAAGAATTTATTTTGAATATTCAATTGCAACAGAAAGACTGCAACGCTCGCGCAGCCTTGGTCGAATTATCTTTTGGTATCTATAGAACGCGCCCGAATGATCGTAATGCGATCAGGAACAAAGCGACGAAAATCAGTGCCTATTTTGTAGCCGATTAGTGCCTATTGTATTAACTCTATTTCGCGATCGAATCTCCATCGAAATCTCATCGGAAGGTCGAACAACCGAATACTCTGCGCAAGGGATGACGTCGAAAAGGTACGCGAGGTTCCCGAGTGAACGATAAAAAGTTTGTTAATTGCAAGAAACGTGTATCCAGAAAATTGACCGACGATAGACGAAACTGCTCGGATTCTGGCATATTGGATGATTATTAAGGGTATCTCTATATTATCGCAATCGACTTATCCGTTCCTCCCTTCTGCAAGCAAGCATTATCCGGCAAATTCATCACGTCGGCCGCATTGTCGGCGTCGGTTCAGTTACCATTATTACCGTTATCCACTTCCAATAAGCATTATCCCGAGGAGGTCGGGAGGCGCAAGTAGAATGCGACCGTACGCGAACCGGGGAACTTCCTTCCAAGTCGGGATCTTCTTTCGGTAATCGTCGATAATGCAGTTACCGTGGCCACCCTGCAACCCGCTGGATCGCCTATCGATCCGTCGGCCAACCAACCTGACCTATATTCGGCTGCCACTCGGAGGAGCCTCCCGGAGCGGACCCCGTTGTCCTACGCGCGTCATTTCCCTCGTCCTGCGAGCTCCTTTAAAAACGACCATTCGAGAACCGTTTTAATATCGAGATTGCTCTCCGTCGGTACTCGGTGATGTCGACATCACGGAGTTACGTGCGATTGTCCCCGGATGCGAGCGACGAGTATATTAAAAATACTAGATCAGTTTACACTTTGGATCTTTCGATACGAGATTCACTTTGTTTCGGCTTTCGTTTCGACATTTATACGATCGTTCCTCTATCGTTTGCTATTCTTCTCCATTTAATCGAAATTTAAAACGCGACCATTTCAAACGCAAGAAAATGCATTGATATCCTCTCCGAATGAACCGCGGAACGAGCCCATGACGCAGTCGGGGAGGCCAGAGATTTTAATAACTCCCGTAGACTTCTGCCGAAGCTCATAAATTCTGAAGCGGTTCTAGAAGTCCGCCGTTCCGAAAATAAACAGGTCCGGTCGAAGATAAGCGCGCGGCAGATCAATGTGCGAAGCGTTCGAGGAGCCAGGGAAGTTCCTTTCTCCGGCCGAGAATACCGACTTTCCCGGAGAATCGTTTCCGCCGGCTCCCGGACTCGTTCGGCCCCGAGGGAATCGCGCGAGACGTTCTCCGCGAGTGACGAGCGTCGAGAGGAACGGCGCGTCTTTTCGCTGCCCTCCCGACAACGTCGATGCTTCAACGCGCTCGCCGCGCTGTCAAGGATAACGCGGCCCGATAAATCGACCGGGACCGCCAGACGTGCGGCCCATTTTTCACGATCCCAAGGAGATCCCGTGGAAACCCGTTCACCCGACCGCGAGGTACCGTAACGGCGAAATTTATCGCCAAGTGTGTGCCGCGGAAACGCGTGTTCAGCATCAATTTCGCCGATTAGTTGGCCGCGAAGTTGGTCAACTCGCCGCGTGTCCCCGTCTAATGCAATTTTCCAGGATGCCAAACTTCCACCTACGTAAGATCAACGGAGAGAAATTGATCTTGGAGCTGTGGCTGATGCCCCTAACGAAATGTCGGAGGAACGAACAGAGTAACGAGTAACGCGCAATTCTTGTTATTTGTAACGTTGATTATTAGAGACATTGCACTTGTATAAAAATGTCCGATACAGTTGCTACAACGTTGCGAATCTGCAATACGGCGTGGTTATATATTCCCATGCAAATTTTCATGATTTCCAAGCGAACGCGAACGCCTATTATTCCTCACAACAAGTAGAACCCGCAAGCAACGATCAGACAAGCAACCGGCTCGTATTCAACTCATCCACCTAGCCAAAATTCCAAGCCAGCATCCCTTCCAACACAAAATAACTCGAACAAATCTCATTCTACATTTTCGACCTACTTCCTACAAAATCCCAGCCATCTGTACCCACCACGGAAACCTACCTTTTCCAAAGACTTGCCGTACCGCCTACAATTACTGTCCGAGAACAACAGTGAATTATATGTCCTAACCAGGCCGGTTCCAAATGAACCAAACGAGTGTTCGCGACTTTTAACCCTACTTACGATTTAAACTCACGCGTAGCTCGCTAGGATTACTTTCGAGCATACGGATTAATTACGTCCGCATTAATTAGTAATTATTCGATCGAACGGTGTTATCATTATCACGCGTGTATCTTCCTCGACGTCGCATAATTACGCATTAGGTAATGCTATTGGTAATACGGAAACCGTTCGAAACAATCACCGTCTAATCGAATGAACCGTACTAATTAGCAATTAAAAGATTTGCTTCAGGATCAGAAGCGACTCCCATCGAATTCAACGTGGCAAACCTAAATGAATGTGTTTAAATTAAGGTTATACGAGCTACAGAAGTTGTGTAGTAACCCGAATTCGGGCGGCACCGCGGTCAAAGCGTTAAAGAAGCGCGGAAGCGACGAGAACGAACGTTGTCGACGAAATCCTGAGGAACCAACCGGGTGGTCCGTCGCGGAAAATTACGAGGACCCGAGTCTTTGTGCGGTTACTTCTTTTCGAGCGTGATTATCGGATAAAGAGCGGTCCGAAGGATCCGGGTCGAAACTTTGGCGGCCAGGAACGATCCGTTCGGATTATGGAGACCGCTCGTTAGCCTCAGACATCGCGGGACTCGAGCAGATTTATCGTACCCGTGTCGCGGGGGACGGAGGGTAATTGATGATCAACGCTCGAAAATTCTGGTATTAATTAATTTTAATGGAATCCCGAGATCTCGGCCGGCATCGATCGTTTCTCATATTCCGCCGGTCGGGCGTAAATCCGACCGTGAACACTCTAATTGATAGAACGCGTCCGGCTCCGGTCTCGGCCGGATTTATCGTTCGCGGTCCCATCGATCCCTTCGACGCGTCGACGCTCGTAAACGACGCCGACGCTTCCGACCAGTGACGTCTGGAGTGACCGTTTTCGAACCTTGATGCGTTTTCCTATCGATCGCTGGTTGTCTTTGTGGGTTACGTGGTCCCAGCGAATGTAATGCTGTTTTTCGCAGATACAATTTTCACGAATCACGATCAATCGTGTATGCAGAGGTACGGAATCAATGTTTTCGGGGGGAATTTCGCGAAAGCTGGAATATCAGGAAGATTCGAAGAAAGAGAAGTCATTCAAAATTCGAATTTTAGGAAAATTCTTTTATTCGAAAGAGGTCTCCGACGACAAGGCGGGAGTTGCGAATTGTACAAGTGCCGTAAATGTTTAAAAATCCGCAGTCCAGTTACGACTTTTCGCAGTCGACACCATTCAGCGATCCTTTTAGCTTCAACATATTCTACATTGTTACCACCAGACTGTGAAATTTTATGCGTGCACACATTTTTACGGAGACGTTTAAACGGGCGGGCATTGCATAAAATTTAATTCTCCTCGTAAATGGTTCGACCGTAAGTCATTCTTTAATGTTCTTCCCGCGAAATGCGAAGTCACGGTCATTAAATTAGCGCGACCATTACTAAAATCCTTAATACCTGTGCCACATTAGATACAAACCTGAGGAAAATCTGTATCGTAAATAATAAACCACAAACTTTCCAACAATAATAATTCTAACGAAAATTTCCACTCCGCGGGATTCGCCATAATTGATTTGTTCACATCTCTGATTGCAGAATGAACTGTCAACTTGACGTAGAATCGGCGGAAACAACTGGTCGTCGAAGGATGGTTACTTTGAAAAGACATTGTTCCCACGATGGATTCGACGCGTCAACGGATCGTTAACGAAACAAACTGAACGGGTCAATAGAAGAAAGTTCCGGCCGTTTGGTTTGATTCCACGAGGTGTCCGGCACACGTTGATCAAATAATCAGCGCAGCCGGCGGCGACGAATCACGGGAACAGGTGGACGCGATAGTACGCTCGCGTCGTGGACCGGCGCCGGCCGCCGGGCGCCGCGTGTAACGGAAACGTGGACGGTTTTCGTGTTTCTTCTGAAAATAAATTCGGCACGCTGAGAGCAGTCAGTCACGAAGCCTCCTAAAAATACGCCCCGCTAAAAATATGATCCAGCTACTATTTCCGGGGGAGCGATCCACGGGTACAATGCCTCGGACGACAGTCGGCCGAGAGTCTGGATTCGAGTGATCGAACGTCGCGTCTGCCACGATATTCCCGTAATATTATTACATATTAACAATAACCGTCACTATTGGGATGCCAAGATAATCTTCTCGTACTTATCTTTAATGAAACTCGAGTGAATCGTTTGACATTTCAGCTCGTCGAACCGACAATCATCCGATTACATGCTTTGTTCATTAACGCGACGCTACTCGTAACGCGTAATATCGTGATTGCAATGCCAGAAAAATTGAACGAGTGACGCGTGAATGCAAGACAAGGCATAATTATATTACAGAATGAACAACCTGGAAGTCTGTGCAAGAAGAAGCACAGATTACAGAAAGCAAAGAGACAGAGCGAAAAATTATTAGTTCGACGGAAGATATTACAACGGGAATTAAGGGCAGTATCTCAGAAATGCTCCAGCGGAATATCGTCGTTGTCTCCTTGACCGTCGTCCCGGTGAACCCGGGAACGACGGCGTGAAAATAACCCGCGGATAAAATTGGACGAAGGAGCATCACGGCGCGCCGTGAAAAGTAACGAGAACGGGAGCGACGGGCGGCGGCCATTAATGCGCCATGAAAAATTACAGCCCCGATGCCATTGCAAATTCAACGGCAATCCCACGGTGTTCCGCCCGTAGT